TCTCTCTTTGGTTTAGGAGGTCTTCCTCGACCCAGCGGCTTTGGAACAGGCATGTCCCTGTGATCCACGATGTCGTCGATGTCCACTTGGCCATCCATGGTTGGGGGCAGCATCGATCTCCTTGAAGGGAATTGATCAGTCTCAGCGAAAGGTGCAAGCTTTGAGGCATGAAAGACTGGGTGAGTGCGTAGGTGTCCAGGGATACGGATAACATAGGTAGGACCATCAATCTCATCCCCCACTACATCCAGGACTTCCCAAGGACCAAAGTACTGAGGCATTAGTTTTCTAGAGATACCGAATTCCTGACCTAGCTCACTAGCCTTGACCCAGACACGTTCCCCTACCTAAAATGAGGACTGTCGTCGATGCTTGTTCTCAGAAGCAATCATTGCTTGTTGAGCCTTCTTGATGTGCTCGACAGCTTGCTGCAGCAACTTCTCATACTGCACACCATACTCAAGTGTGCCTGGAGTTGCAGCGGATCGGTTTCAGGTAGGAGGAAGTCTAGAGCAGATCTAGGCTTCCATCCCAAGTGCAACTGGTTAGGACTAACGTCCGTACTGCTGTGTACAGCGTTGTTATATAGGCTGATGATGAGAGGCAACTTCTCATCCCAGTCATCCTGGCTGGGCTCGATGTAATGCCTCAGCAGGTGCTGCACAACTCTGTTCATCTGCTCGGCCTGTCCATTGGCTTCGGGATGATTCCCTGAAGTCATCTGAAGTTGACTGTCCATCTGCTCAGCAGTCTTCTTTCACAACTCACTTGTGAAACGAACATCTCTGTCACTAACGATTGACTTTGGTAAACCAAAGTCACGCACCCAGTTGTCCATGAACAACTTGATGACGTGGTCCGTCCTTGCGGTCTCTGGCATGGCGACTAGTCTAGCGTACTTGGTGAATTAATCGATGATGACGAAGATATGCCTCTTACCACTCTTACTGGTCACTAGGGTATCCATGAAGTCCATGGAAATGCTCTCTCCTGGACCAGCGGGGATAGGTAGGGGCCTCAACAACCCAAGCAGTGCTTGAGTTCGCGGCTTGTCCCACTGACAGACCTGACAGGTCTCTACGTACTTCTTTGCGTCATCTCGCATTCAAGGCCACCAAAATCGCTGTACTAGATTAGCACTCGTCTTCTTGTAGCCAAACTGCCCGGTTGCGTCATGACATTCTCCTAGAAATAAAATAAGCAAACGTTCACTAGATGGAACTACTAACCTTTTACAACCGGCCTTATCAAGAAAAAGTAACCCATCCACCATCACAAACTCACTTTCTATGGCCTTGTCTTTTGCCTGAAGTTTGCGCATGATGTCCATCATGACAGGGTTTTCCTGATAGGCTCCCACCAACGATTGAGTCACTTCCAGGGATACTCCAAACTCGAAAACTAGCGGCCCGAGGTAGTCTGGTCTGCGAGATAGCGCATCAGCAACCTTGTTGTACTCTCCCTTCAGATACTCAAGCTTGAAGTCATATTGATCAATGACCTCAATCCATCGCTCGGCATCAGAAAGAGCCAATTGAGTCTTCATCCATTTGAGCGTCTGATGGTCAGTTCTTAAGTAGAAGAACCGTCCCAATAGAAACTGTCTCCAATGGACAAGTGCCTTGTAGAGAGCATAGAGTTCCCTTTCGTAGGTGGACTTTGCCAATTTCTTTGATGGCATTTTCTTGCTCATGTACTCAATCGGTCTCAACTTCTTCCCATCCTACTGAGCCAGCACTGCGCCAATGCAGTATTGGCTTGCGTCAGTGGTCACTATGAACAACTTCTGAGGATCGGGAACTATGATTCATAAGTGCATGCTTCAATCGCTTGAAAGCACCCTCGCACTCATCACTCCAGTCCCACGGCGTGTCAAGTCGAGTTAGATCTGTCAAAGGAGAGGCGACTGTAGAATAGTTCTTTGCGAAGTTCCTATAGTAGCCGCACATTCCTAAGAAAGATCTGACCTCAGTGACAGTCTGAGGTCGTGGCCAGTCTCGAATACTAGCTACCTTCGCATCTTCCGGCCTAATCCCTTCTGCGGATACTTTGTGACCCAAGTATAATATCTTAGTGCGACCAAACTCACACTTCTCTAGGTTGACCTTATACTTGTGTTGTCGCAGGAGTGAAAGTACAGTCTCAACGTGCTGTGCATGCTCCTCGACAGACTTACTAAAGATCAGAATGTCGTCAAGGTAAGCCACGACAAACTTATCTAAATGGTCATGAAAGATCCGATTCATAGTGTGCTGGAATGTTCCCGGTGCATTGCAAAGACCAAAGGGCATCCCCGCAAACTCATACAGACCATATCGAGTCTGAAAAGTTGTCTTGTGTTGGTCCTCAGGTCTTATAGCGATCTGATGATAGCCGGATTTCAAGTCTATCTTACTATAGTACTTCCATCCCTGCACCCTATCCAATAGGTCGTCTATGCGAGGTAGAGGCTCTGCGTTCTTCACGGTGATGGAATTGAGGCCTCTATAATCAATGCACATCCTTAATGTACCCCCCTTCTTTGGTACAAATAGTACTGGCGATCCGTAAGGGGAAGTACTAGGCCGAATCCATCCCTTCTTTGTCAACTCTCTCAGTTGTCGCCGGAGTTCATCTAACTCGGCGGGAGCCATCCTATAGATCCTCCCCTTTGGGGTTTTACTCCCTGGGATGATTTCTATAGCGTGGACAACTTCCCTTTCTACGACCCATGTAGGCTCTTCGAATAGATCAGGGAACTTAGCAACGACGCGTTCTATCTCTGGGGGTGTTTTAACGGCGTCCCCTTTCTCAGAGACATACACTAGGTACATACCTTCCTCTTGGTTCTGTTTGTAATAGTTATAGAACGCTGATGCGCACAAGCAGCCAAAGGTATCAATTATGCTACTGGCTTTGAACTTAGTCAATCTGACTGTCCTGCCATCAGGCAACTTATGCTTTAGCACCTTCTTATCCCAGTCGAACTGGGGCTTAGCAACCTCAAGGTAGTACATGCCTAACAACATGTCGAATGGTAAGTCGTCGCTAACCAAGAACGAAATCTTATGATTAAGTTCTCCTCCTCCATAGGAGAAGGTACAAACTATGTCCTTGATATAGTCTGTGACTATCATGCGCTCCTTGTTGGCCAAAGCAGATGCTACAGGTCTACTAAGGTGCCGTACCCGGTCCAGTAGGTGCAACCTTTCCAAACAGTCGCGACTTATGTAATTCCGCGTGGAGCCTATGTCTATGAAGGCACCACATTTGCGGCCTCCTACATCGACTTCCACCACGAAATGTTCCCCTTTAGGACCTTTCCTTAGCGCCACCCAAGGTTCGCGAGGGTCCTTGTTTGACCACTCGCTTTCCAAATCTTCTAAGGCTTCAGACACATCTAACGTACATAACATAGTTTGGTCTAAATGTGTCTGCGGGGTGACTAAAGAGTCATTAGCTTTGGCCTGCTCATGAAGTGGGGAGGGTATCAGACCCACTTCAACTTGAGTAGAAGCAGCTTAAACTTCCACCGGCCTCACATGTTTCCCGAGATAGAAGCCTGGGAAGAAGATGCCCCCATCTTAGGAGGTATCTTCTGCGTGACCTTTGCGTTTTGGCACTTGTACTGGGTGTGTCTGTATTCACCACAATTTATACAAGCGCCACGCACTCGGCGGTCCCGCCACAAGTCTTGATCAAGACCTGCCTTGACCCAATCTGCCACTTTCGTCTGATTGGAGGCGGCCTTCCCTTGACTCTTTGGTTGGCCCTTCACTCGGCCACCTGCCTTAGCCTTAACTACTGCGGCGAGGGTGCTACTCTCAGCAGTATCCTCGCCGTCATACTCTGAAACGTCCAGCAGGTTTGTGAGCTCATCAATCTCTGTTTGAGTCCCATCGGACTCAACCATCATCAACTTCGCCCCCTTCTTCTTCCATTCCTGCGGACTCTTCTTCTTCCTCGCATCACTTTGAGAGGGTTGAGCATTTCCTAGTGTAGCCTCCAAGTCTAAGGCTTTTCTAGACAATGTCTCAAACGAATGGTACTCGAGGCGAGCCTCGTTGGCCAGCAAGTTCCTGAGGTTCTCTGGAAGACATCTAACAAACGTAGTTAACAGGAACTGGTCACTGTAGTTGATGCCTGGAACGACGATGAGGCTCTCTATGGTAGTCGTAAGCTCTCTGACTGACTTAAACTTTCTTTGACTTAGTCTGTTTATCGCGTTAGTGGCTATTTGTGCCTGCTGAGGATTGTGCCAGCGAGCTTCTACCATCTCAAAGAACTAGTCTAACGTAATGGACTTAGCCCAGTCCGCCATACGTCATCCATACCCGGCCTTTGCAACTATACCATCTAGCCATTTGGCTGCCTTACCCTCGAGGTAAGATGCAGCAGTAACCACTTCGTCCTCTGGCAAGGTCCTCTTCGCCTTTACCCAAACCGGAATTGTTCTCAACCAAGTGTTGAGTTCTTCGTCCTTCCTCTCGCCTGAGAAGGCAAGAGGCGGTTTCATTGGGGTCTTAGGGTACCAATGACCTTGCGGCTGTCCCTGTTGAGGGACAGGTTGTTGCGGTGGTGTAGCACCCACCGCTGGACCCGAAGAAGAAGAAGCAACAGTCTGTGCAGCTGCTGCAGACGTGCCACTTGGTTGGGTGCCAGCTTGAACTGGAAAGGGGCCAGACATCGCCGTTAACGGCAATGGCGACTGTGCTGGTGGCCGAAATCTTGGCCTTTGCAAAATGTCCAGGATCTGGTCCAGGGTGTTCTGCATGAAGTTCAATCGGCTGTCCACGTGCGCATGCAACAACAGCATATTGTTCTTCAAGACTTTCATTTGGTCAGACAGAACTGACTCATCCAAACCCTCTAACTCAGCCTTGTTTGCCTCTAACGTTTCAAGTCTGGCTGCTCTTCGTTTGATCTCGTTCTCTCTGTCGGTTGCTAGCTTCAGTTCCCTTTCTAACTTCAGGCGGATCCTCTCGACCTGTTGGAGCTCTAAGAGCTCCCTGCCGCGTGGGGTCAACGGGCTAAACTGCGAGCCCGCCATTTGACTTGTGGACTGACTAGAACTTACTGCCCCGGAAGTACCCTGAGGCATTCCCAACAGGGTCGCATTTGTCCCTGACGAGGACGCAGACGAGAGGCAGAAGATGACGCAACAGAGATTGTGTCGTTAGCCATTGCTACTGCTCTGGCTGCGGCTGCCTGCTCTCTAGCTGCTGCGTTTGCTGCTGTTATCCCTCCTGCTAGCGCACGGGCTCTGCGTTCGGCACGAATCCGTCGTTCGTCTTCCGGTTGTAAGGCCTGGTACACGTGCGGAACCCTAAGTGTTCCCGAATGTGTAAATCTCACATTGTCAACTCTACCCTCATCGGTGTATGATCCACTCATCAGTTAGGCAGACAGTATCTGCACTACAACCCCCCTGTTGGAGTCCTATCCCAGCATGTGTCTGATCGACACTTAATTTTCTAAAAATAGTTGTGTCCGGGAGGTCCCCTACTTTACCGATCAAATGGCAGCTTACAACATTCACAACAGATTGTCAACATAGTCTAGGTGTACTTTGATTAGTTTTCTTACAGCAGCATTAGATAGAACTGGCTATGGTAGTGTACAACAGTCCTAATCTAAGCTGCCTGTGAGGTATTAGCAGTTGTCAACTAATCAAAATAAACAAAGCCCATGTTGCAGATGTATGATGAGTGGGTATGGTTGTGTATCCAATTGAGCACCAATTAGAATCTACCCTTCCCCTCAATCCAACATACCGAACAACATCATTGAGCAGTGGTGTCTTTCGTGTGTTTGTCGGCCCACCCCTCTGCCCAAGTCGTTGTCGAGCAAGCCAACCAGTCCACTCTTATTTACCCTCGTACGGAACGAGCCTTACACCCGGTTGATCTGGCTGATCAGGAGGATTATTAAGAGCGCCCCCATCTCTTCAGGAATTATTTAACGTCGCAGTCAGGACGACRATCACARCCAGAATCAACCMAGTCCCCAACSAGAAATGTTTATAGACGGTCTGGTAAGCGTCTCATAAAAGGCTGGCACACCCGACAGGACTTCTATTCAGCGCAGCAAGTGCCAAAATGGACAGCAGCCATCGCATGCGTGACCTACTCCCATTGGGTTGGCATGGTGACCGTGACCCAGTGCTTCGACCAGGGCCCTTCAGAGGCACCGCCCTTTCTCCTTCCAGATGCTTCCGGGAAGATTGTCGTCTCTCAAGGTAGCGCGCTCACGACACCTCACCAAAAGAGAGGACTCTCAAGTTGGAGTCACTTCCTCACGATAAGAAGAGATTGAGAGAGTAGATAAGGTAAGGGAACAACATACCTGGAGATAGCTGCCCCCAACCACATATTTCTCACCAATTGAGCTGAGTGTGCATTTGATGACCGGTCTTGGCCTCGGTACCACCCACAACGCAATGCAGTGCCACCTTAACCGAATGCCGCATCAGCATGCTCTCATCACCAATCATACATTCCGCCTGTCCCCACGACAATCAATGTTGTCTTAGCTTTCCGGCGCACAGCTCTCTACCCAGGCTGTGCGCCTAAATATGGCCTGACGTCACAAGAACCAACTGCGAAGAAGCATCGTCAACGCACCAAGTCTGTATAACGCCAGCGCACCAAGGTAAGTGGCGAATCAAACCAGCTGCGATACCAAATTGCAAGGAACATGAATATGGACGAAGCACAAAAATCCAGATTGCAAAATCACACTGAAGTCCAAGTAGTCAAAGAAATAGTAGATATCACAACGGAACCGAGTAACCATACATTTGAGAATGATACAGAAGAATCGTGAGTCAATGTCCAAGCCCAACAGGGCAACACCAACAACATAACTCAATGTAGCTCTCTCTCTTGAATGGCGCCAGGCGCCCTACCTACTCTACAGCCTATCTCTACAACTACAGCTATGAAGCAACCAGACAACTTGACGACCAGCGAGTGATGATGTCAACACCAATGCCGACCTCCACCTCCACCAGGTACGTCTCCTCCTTCACCCACACTCTCCCTTGTTATCCCACACAGCGCCCTTCACCTCTGAAGAACCACCTTCACCCTCACCTCCCCTGCGCCCTCAGGCAGCCCAGCTATGGCCGCCAGCGCCCTGCGCGCACAGGCAACGTTCTACCGCTTTAGCGCTAGCCTGCTCCCTCAGCCTTAGCGCAGCACAGCAGCTCGCGTTCGCGCAGCATGCCGGCAGTGCTCGCAATGGCCAAGATCCTTGCCCACTCGCCCTGCTTGCCTATATGCCAGTGTTGCGGGTGGGCGGCCTCCCTTCAGCCTGCGACTGGGCCCCGGTGCCTGAACCCAGCCCCGATGCAGTTGGGGCCCGGGTGATGCAGTTGCGCCTCTTTCGTCAAGGCCTGCGGCCAGATTCAGATAGTGGGCCGATTTCCCTTTGGCATTTTCGGCCTCTATACCCAGCATGCATTGTCGGCCTCACGTGGGCCTAACTAACTCAGAGGCCTTGGGTTGTCCACATTTGCAGAGATTCGAGACTCGGTGCACTCCAACCAACTGGCGTGCTGCAACTGTATGGACACCACTTCGTGAAATGTTTGCACAAAGGGCTCTTGTTGATTTGCTGGCCCGCCTTCACTTAGGGCGGGCACGAGGCTTGCTGGGGCCTTAGCCCATAATATGTATATCATGGCAAGGCCCCTTCTTGAGGGCTCATTCCTCACACACCCTATTTTCCTGGACGGCCCAACCGTGCAAGGAGCAGGGAAGGTCCTAGTAAAAAAAAAAAAAAAAACATCAAAAAAATCTGAAAAAAAACTATGTTATGCAGGCAAATAAATTGAACTTTCGCCTCAGGGTCACATCGAAATTCCTTACCAAATTTAAAATAAAAAATAAAGTTAAGAATAATTTTTATTTTTTTATTTTTTTATTTTTTTTTGGCCCGGTCGGGCAAGTGACCCATGGCCACTCTGGTAGCCTAGCTTTAGAGTTAGTTACTTCTTTTTCAAAAAATATATATAATTCAAAAGAGTTAATTAATTTTTTTTTCCAAATTGTTTTTTTTTTACTGCTTCCTATATCCACTTCCCAACCTAATCCAGGGTTTCACTTTTGAAGGTACGTATGATCGACTCATTTGCATCTTTGGTGAGGAATCACCGCTCTCCTTGTTATTATAGAATTAAGGGAATTAAGCAGTTTATCAGAATCCCCCTTATTGAGCTTCCTATATCCACTTCCCAACCTAATCTAGGGTTTCACTTTTGAAGGTACGTATGATCGGCTCATTTGCATCTTTGGTCTCTTCTCAGCAGACCAGTTGTTTCTTGACAAAATATCAGGTAAAGGAGGAGCTGGGAATCCCTCAAAGACAATAAACCGAGTAGATCCAATAAAACACTTATTTTCTCTCTCAAGTCTTTGTTTTTCTTTTAGTAGAACTTCCTCTACAAATCCCCAGCGTCTCCCATAGACAGCGTCAACACTCCTCTCTTTAGGAACATAGACCCTTACGTCATATATGTCCAAGTCTGTAAAGTAGAATGTCAGGATATAAAATCGTTCCTGCTCCCATCCACTCTCGACCATCTCATACTTGACAATCTTGTATGGGAACACTTCTTTCTCACTTAAGGCGTTCAATGATCTTAGGAGGCACTCGACCCTTTCTCTGCTTGGACCTGAGCCTCTGCCAAATTCCAGTCTTCTCTGTCTCATTTCCTCTGCTGAAGTTTTTCTTGTTCTCATGACTGCGTTCTCATTTTTTCCATCTCAGTACCTTATTAATTATTGGCAAGCAATTACTTCCGTCACAGTAACTCTCAGGAATAGGAGGAATCAGAATTGTCTCATAAGTTACAGGCAATAACCCCCATTCCACTTTCTTCTTTCGCTTGATTAGATCTGCCTTCTCGTCGTAGATAAACTGAACAACAATTTCCCATAACCAATTAAAGGATTCACCATCGTTGCAGCTTCCCTTCTTGACGTAGGGCCGAATATCATAGATATTTCCTTCCAAGAAGTGAGTTAGTACTACACAGATGGTCGAACTGCGAGAGTGGTAAGCCCAACAATGCTCATATTGATAGGGAAATACCCCTTTAATAGTAAATTTTGAGAGCTTTTTCAGTGGTTCAGCAGTTAGCATTGTTGAAGGAATCTCTTACTCTCTGGCTCGTTCTCTTCTTTCTCAGTTCTTCAGGGACATCAAGGGCTCATAAGGCATACCTGTGATCAAGCCTGACCCTCTCCAATAAGTAATGTCAGTTTCCTCCTCTGGCCCAGTGTGGTACCTCAGACATGCAGAGATGAGACCCAGTTAGCAACTGAAAACTTCCAATAAAATAAAGACTCACTCAAGATGTCAGAGTCAATCTGAGAATTCAAACATTGTCAACAGTTCTCATGGCCTAATCAAAGCTCAAAGTTGTTGCCGACCCCGGTTCGTTCCGGACACGGAAATTTTTCATGTCCCCGGCAACAGCGCCATTTTTGTCGTACTTTTTTCTAGTCGGGCTCCTTCAGGCGACTAGAAAGCCAACAGGCTGTCACGCAGGATTTATTTGCTTTTGCAATAAATAAAATAAAATAAATTAATTAAAGCAAATCCCTTCCTGTTGTGTGCGTCCGACTTCGAGCGAGACCCTTCAATTACAGTCTTCGACGGTCCCCGATCTTAGGAATATTTTATTTTGATTCGGAACAACAAAGAATCATGCAAATAATAATCACAAAATGTTGATATGTCATGCATGCATCAGTTTGCCAATTTACTAACTTTGAGAACTGTGACAACATCATCAGAAAGCATGATCACCAAGCAAAACGATGTAGTCCATACAAGACTGACTGACTCGAGCAAAGACAAGGGTAAATGAGGGAAGAATGAGAACTCATAATAGTCTCAGAGAGTACACATGCAGAGAGCACGACCAGCACTAGTCAAGAGTTCTCATTCATCCCTCTGAATCTCACACTCAATCTCTTATTTTGCTGCATGTCTCTTGTGCTTCCGGCCAAGTCTTCGTACTCCCTGAGCTTGTGGTCTCTGGATGTAGAGCCACCTGAACCCTGCAAGTTCCGAGCACTTCCGACCAAGTCTCATGATACGAAAGTCGCCCATAGCACAAAAATCCTTCCATAAAGTAGGAAGATATGGTTGAGAGAAAATCCCTCGTCCTTGGTTGATGGTTCTGTCAATGCCTCGTAATCAATCATCGCAGGAAAGATATACCTCTTGGCTAGTTC